CTTTTTGTTCCGTCTTTTGTTCTCAATTCAATTGATTGAATGTGTTTCGGTTTTTTGTTTTTAGGAAGGGTGGTGTGATAGTAGAGGAACACTTGATGAAGTTAAGGCTAAGATACATATGAGGAAAGAGGGAGCTGTCAAGAGAGAGAGGGCACTTGCATACTCTCTAGTTCACAAGGTATTTATATGATCAAGAAACAATAAAAAAAAAAAGAACACTCATTTGCTTTGCTCTTTGCACTTCTGATTTTTTTTTGCAAAAAAATTAATTGCTTTTTGTGTAATTATGCTAAACCTTGAGGGTTGGCAGTGGAAATCAAGCCAGAGTAATAATCCCTCTATGATTCCCTCATTGAAAAACAATGGATTTGACAAGAGCAATTGGAGCTGGCTCGAAAGGTGGATGGTAGCGAAGCCTTGGGAAAATCGACTAATGGCTCAAAGTAACGACAATATCAGCAAGTCCTTAGCCAAATCGAATCTCTCGACTTTGCCCGAACCGAGTTCGGTTAAAGTAACTAAAAACATAATCACCAAGAAAATATCAGCAAATCCTCCTCCATTTATCATCAGTTCTCATGCCACTCACTCATCCTCAAGCCCGAGCTCGGATTTCTCATCCTCGTTCTTCACAAACACCTACTCGGATAAAACGGAAGACAGCAATACGAGCAGGCCGAATTACATGAGCTTGACGGAGGCAACTAGGGCAAAGCAGAGGATCACGGCCCGCCAGAGGCAGCCGTCGATGGACGAGTTTCAGTTTCTCAAGAAGTCGGTTGTGAGCTCTGGTGGCGGCAATGAGGGTGGCTCGGAATCTTGTGTGGCGGTGAATAAGTCGAGTATTCTTTGCGTGCCGGCAAGGAATTAGATGGGAGGGTGGTTTTGTTTTGTTTTTTGTTTTTTGTTTTTTTTTTTGGAGTGTTTTGCAACAACTTGTTGTTTTGGGTTGGAGATTTGAATGATTCTGAAGTTCTGTAAAGTTGTGTGAGGTGTGTTATTTGGACTTTGAAAATGGTAATGGTTATTTTTTTTTCTCGTCTGATTTATTCTTTATTAGGCAAAAGACACAAAAATAAGAGTAGTTATATATTTTTAAGACTAGAAACATCACCTCAATATTAGATAGTTGTTAATTAACAAAAATCATTTGCAGTAGGGGGAGTACAGTGCAGTTTTTCATTATTTTGAAAGATGCAGTGAATTGTTATTTACCGCCCCTCTTTTACTAGTCATCGCCCCCTCTCAATTACGTTTTTGCCCTTCACACACTCTCTCTACTCTCTCTCTCTACTCTTTCCCTCTCGATTTTCTACGGCTCTTTTGGCCGTCAAAAAAATTTCAAAAAAATACCAAAAAAATACTATGACATCGGCAAGACATTAAAGATTGACCATGTATTTTTTTTATATTTTT